TTTGACACGATCCAACACCGATCACTTGTCACTTGTCAAAGTGGAAATCGCGCACCAATTGTCTCGAGCATAGGCTCGAATCCAGCCTGTCTATGAAAGCAAACTTGTCGATAGACATCGACAGGCTTACCTCCATAGACAGATCAGTCACTGGTCTATCTCGAGCATCGTTTCGATAGCAAGAAAATTTAGCCAAATCAACCGCTCCCCCGCGTGGAAGAGCGGTCCAGTGTCTATGTGCCTGTTTCTGGATGGCTAAATGGTATGAAATAAATAAATGGAGGTGAGCTTGAAGAGCGAGAGATGAAGAAGAAAGAGGCACGTCAATGTGTATGATGGTGGCCAAGAAGGATTTGTAGAAAGACGGGATTTTTCTGGATATAGATTTGGAAGGTGTCTGAGGACCAACTGGCAACGACCGGCGGCTTGGATTAAGTGATATGGTACTCCGTCTTCTGCTAGAGCTGTTGCACCTCCAGCACGAAGAGATTGACCAGCGTAGTTACGATCTGGGATGAAGCGACGGAGGTGCCGTATAAACCATGAACGTGCAGGGACAGATCCGTTGGCTCTGATCCAAAGGAATGGGTGAAGGGGAAATTTTTCGTCACGATGCTGAAGATAATGATGAAATAGAAGTATCGTGCTGAGACGGAGGCGATGAGGAATGATAACTCTGCTGCCTTCGAAGCTGGAATCGGCTTTGTGGGATCGTAACCAGAAGGCAAAGCCCTCAAGAAGCCATTCCACCGAAGAACAGTGTCCATTTTGCCGGATTTCTTAATACAAGGTTGTCAGGCATTGTGAGCTCGTCAGGGCGTAGGAGGCCATAGAAGCTGGTAAACAGCATGGTGACAAACAAAAGATCATTGTAGGAAGATGACGAAGGCAAGCGGTTCAATATTAATGGCAGGTGAGTGCGGGATAATAGTTGCTTTCCTTGAGCGTTCTTGAGACCAGCATGCTCTTCCCATTTTTACAAACATGTTATATTCAAGGACGACAGGGAAGGTAAGACCGGAGGACAGAGGTCCGGCAGATGATCAGAGGATACATTGTGAGGCTGGCGATCGTGCTATGCACCTCTCACCGCCTCAGGTCCCCTCCGTGGCATACACTTGCAACTCTCACATGGCGACTTGCAACTTCTGTTTCACACCGACTTATGACAATTCACTATCTAATCGGGAAACCACGATATCGGATCAGGATCGACCTTTGACACCGACACCGACTTCTCACCTCGACCAGACCACAGCCCTCAGCTCGCTCTACTGGCCCACCGTCCTGCCCGGTCCACCACCCTGGCCTCGACTATGTAGCACATTTGCCCTCGTAACCCCTTGCATCTGTACTCTCGCACTGAGTATGCACCTCGCTCACCAAGGATCACAGCTCGGATCTGTGCGCACGCATCGTGGGTGCGCCTCGCTCACCCAGAACAACCACTCAAGTCCAGTATGGCCACCTGAGTCGCCCAAGTACCTTCAGCTGACGGACCAACACCATTAACGCACCTGTCACTGGGGGCAAGCCATCAAATGCAGGCACTGGAAATAAGGTGCAAATTGTATGTAAATTAATTATTTCCACCTTAAATTCCCAGTATTTCCAGGGCCTGTAAATGCTGGGAATATTATATATATGATATTAATTTGCACATTATTTACAAGCCTGGGAAATAACTTATATGCTCATTATTTCCTTATTAAGTACTTCTTATTTCCAGTGCTGGGAAATTTTAAATTTCCAGGCCCTGCAAATTGAAAGGAAATGATGAACCAAACTTTCCAAAAAAGTAAATAAATACAGTCAGCTGACTACTAGGATTCATGAAATCCCAGAAGCTTCTTGGATTCCAATCTGAATTAGGAAATTTCTGGTTGACGCTTGAGACTTACTCAACCAGGAAATAAGAATTGAAAGTTACTCAAATGGGTAATAATCACTGTACAACACAGGCTTGCTGATATCATGTGCAATCATTTCTGGGCTGAGTTACCAACCAACATTCTATCATTAGTACTCATGAATCACATAAGTTCAGCACTGTTCAACTCATATCTTACCTGTATTATCAATAAATGTGCTTCCAATGCACAACAAGTATTAGATTGTTCTTATTTCCCAAATGATTGAAGGTATCAGTTCTTTCACAAACAGCTGTAAAATCATTCAGCTTCTGAGAAACACATTGATAAAGACATCCAGACAGAGGCATGTGATTCTAGGGCAAGTCCCAGCAGAACATCTCTCTCCATGTCTGCTTAGAAATGTGCTGAACAAGTGAACTAGACAGTTATATTTGAGCTTACACTCTCATCCAAAAACTGCAGTCAAGAACTGAGCAATAAAAATAATGTACCAGGGAGGATTGAACTGAGGTGCCATCAGATTATGATTACATAATTAAAATGGGGCCCAGCAAATTGTGAGAAACAAAGATAATGGCACCTGAGAGGATTGAACTCAGGTGCCTTGAGATTGTGATTACATAATTGAGATTGTAGGGCCTGCAAATTGTGCGCATGACAAGCGGACGCGTCCGCTTGTCATGAGGTCGTGGGAAAAGTCAGGTGCTTTTTCCCACACTGAATTATTATTACAGCAACTTCAAATACTTTGTCTCTTGTCGTGCTCATTGTGAGCCCATTTCTTGATGAAATCTCTTGTTAATAGGTGTGTTTGTTACGTGAGTACAGGACTGCATCAGAATGAAAGCAGCTTCAAAATGCTTTCAAATATGCCTATTAACAAGAGATTTCACCAAGAAATGGGCTCACAATGAGCACAACAAGAGACAAAGTATTTACACAATCTCAAATCTGTTGTTCACACAGCTGTTAATAATAAAATAATTCAGTTGAAGACATTTCTCATCCAATGAGTCTGTATTTTGTGTTTCTTTCCTTCATTTCTTCCTCTTTTCTCCCAAAGTTTTTTATGATAAGTACATGTACTAGTTGAGTATTAGTACACAAAATATCTAAGGGATACAGTAAGAGGAAGGTATTGAGAACAAGTGCCAAAACAATTAAAGTTGGTGGTGTTTTGCAAGTTACTTATACAATCAAAATTTCTGAGGTATGCAGATTGTGAGAGAACAGCACATGAGAATCAAGAGGGGCAACACTGGAATTCAACTGTGATGGTTCCTAGGATTCTGGGATTCAAACATGATGGATTGGTATCAATTCTAACTGCTTTAGGCAACTGTTTTATTTCCTTTCTTAGAATGTTTGGTTCATTTGCTTTCAATTTACAGGGCCTGGAAATTTAAAATTTCCCAGCACTGGAAATAGGAAGTACTTAATAAGGAAATAATGAGCATATAAGTTATTTCCCAGGCTTGTAAATAATGTGCAAATTAATATCATATATAAAATATTCCCAGTATTTACAGGCCCTGAAAATACTGGGAATTTAAGGTGGAAATAATTAATTTGCATACAATTTGCACCTCATTTCCAGTGCCTGCATTTGATGGCTTGCCCCCAGTGTGTGAAATGCCTAGCGCGGACCCAGCTACCCTTTTCACTCTCGAGCACGGAGCTCGTACCTTCAACTGGCACTTTAAGCATGCGTTACAATGGTTTCAAGGGGCGAGAAGGCGGTGACTCAGCGGAGGAGGGAAATGGTATAGAAGGGAGCAGGAAAGAGAAATTGTAGTCAGTTACTACTGAGTTCATACCCAGTTACTCGAGTGACCAGGAGTTAGTACCGACTTACGACCGACACAGTCAATACTCCGCAGTCACTACCCAGTCAATTGCAGGATTTACCTCACCAATCCTCACTTGTCCTTGAAACAGAACACTTCACCGCTCTCCCATCCTTGCAAGGTCTGACTTCGGTCGGATCCCAAGTCCTCAGCTTGACCCTCTCCAACCACCGAGCTCCCTCCACGCTCAACCGGAATGACCGCCAGATGTCTGTGTCCGCAAAGGCACTGAACAATTGGATACAGGGCATTGTTGCTTAACACTTGTCTACGGTACCGTTCTCTCCCTAGCCTTCTTGACGCTAACAGCAGATACCGAGCCCCGAGCCCTTTTCTGAGCGCACACACTACACCTATGCCCACCATGCACACACACATCCTCCTCTCAACAGCGGATTACCTCCACCCTCATATCCCACTGCTTCCCACTCTAACTCCCAGTTCATAGACTGGAAATCATCTCCAAGCAACAGAGGGGTCTTCCTCTTTTGTCTGATTGTTTATCTGCGACTATCGCTTCTTTCTCGCTTTGCACTGCTGGATTTGCACTACGGCGGATAGACCATCTGCGTAGTCTGCAAAAATGAAGGCATGGTGCTGGGTGTGATGCTGGAAGAAGTCGAGAGATTTCTCTCGCTCGTGCCCCTTCTGTTGGAATCACATTTCTTTGAACTCTTGTGTACGATCCAGCAACCACTTGGCCGTCAGGAAGTGATGTCATATGGCTCTCAGCAGGTCTGATCAACATCCATCGGGATTGGAGGCAGAAGCAGAGGAGCTGTTGATCTCGGAGGTGGGGCGACTACCAGGGTGGAGGCAACCATGGTTGGACAGGGGCAATGGACAACTCCTGTCGGAGGTTGCGGCAATCCTCTGGAGGCCTGTGTGCAAATTAGCACCTTTACTGGTGATAGGTGCAGGAGCGCCAGCCTAGGTAATCTGTGAGGCTCAGAGGATCACTCGAAGTTGTGATTGTGTGGTTGATAGCAGGAGTAAGGCCGGTCCAGTACTTGGTGCCCTTCATCAACTGATCCTCAAACCCGGCAAGCTCGACAATGTCCTTGAAGTTGTCTGTGTAACAGAAGACATCTCAGGCACCCATGTAGTACCCCCAAGACTCGGGCTTGGCGAGAGCGTGGTCCTGTTTGTTTTCCTCAATGAACCAGAGGCAGAACTCCCAGACAAACATGTCCCAGGTGGAACACGGGAACAAATGTTTCCCGGTGTGGGGCTGGACTTTAGGCTGCAGTGCCACCAAGGTCTCCCACTCCTCAAGAACGGTCGCTTAGCTCAGTGGTAGACTTTGGATGCAGAGCATTCAGAGCAAAACTGGAAGGTCCTGGGCTCGAGTCCCAGAGCAACCATTATTTTCCATTTTTCACACACACTAGGCAACAAGCAGCATTACATCATCCATGCACTCTGCCCAGTGCTGTGCTGAGTCCTTCTCCATAAAGGGCATGGCAAATCTCATGGCCTTCTCTTTGGAGGTTTCTCCGTTTTTGAGGAAGGCCTCCAGGATAAGCCGGACGTAAGTCTTGATGGCATGCAGGAAGGCCCGTCCTTGCGTGCAATCACCGTTAAAGACAAACAGAGGGTTCAGTCAGAGGACCAATTTTGGGGCTGAGCTGAGGTTTGTGTAAAGACCTGGACCTCCAACCAGATCCGGATTGGAAGGGGCCGAGGCAGGAAGGGGGAATTGTGCGGTATTTTTGATTAGCGCGGCAAGGTGCGTGACGGTCTCTTTGATGTGGGATAGGTGGTCCATGTTGGCAGAGGTCGCAGAAATAGGATTCGCCATATCAGCTTTGGAGGACAGAGAGGAGGGGGCAAGATTCAAATTTGGAGGTTGCGAGAGACTCGGAGGTTCTGTAAGATCGTCTTCTGAATTGTCGCTGTCCAAACCAAACTTGCACAATCTTGACTGGTTAATAGACAGCTTGCGCAAAAGCCGCACGAGCCGCATGCGGCTTTTTTGCATTGCGCAATGCCACACAGCAAATTCGAAATGTGATAGGTCTCAATGAATTATTTCAATATAAGCTTACCTGAGGCGAAGGAGAGGTGCTGTGGGGAGAGAGAACATCTTCGGCATTGCCTCTGCTGCGCAGCAGGCGTGATAGTGTGAGAAAAAGAAGTGGAGCTTGAGTGATGCTTTCGTGATGTGTGAAAAATGCAGCCTCCCACAGTTGCACATTCAACAAATAGCACACTCAGGAGTGGGATATAGAATTTAAGGGGCATTGAATGATATTTATCAAGACGAGAATCAAGAACAGCGAAGAAAAAACCCACGGCTTTGCGCAATGCACAAAAGCCGCGTGCAGCTCATGCGGCTTTTGCGCAAGCTGTCTAATCCCTTAGAGACTTTCTCCTGTTGTAAGGGCAACCCTGGCTCCCCAAAATATCTCAAGAGTCCTGGCAGGGGATTCAAAGTCAATTGGAGCACACTACTACAGGAAGAAGCGCACCTGGCAGCGGGGATCCAAAGAGGAGAAAGTCTAAGGACACCCCAGCCAGGTGCGTGCCCATATACCAGCTAGGGCTAACTACAGGTTGCACATGGTCTGTTGATGGCATAGTGAACAGCAGTGATCCCAGGTGCGGTCACATGCGGAGTGCCACGTGGAGTGTGTGGATCTGTCCAGACAGGGTTTGGCTTGGCAGGAAGGATGTTGGAGGATAGCAAAGGTCTGACTGGAGGTCGGATCGGAGGATCGGGAGTCGAAAACGGAGGTTCCCCTGAAATTACAGAGGTGGATGAAAATGGACATATCAATATGAAAAAATCAGAGCCAAAGATGAACACTTTTACACCCCTCATAACATATTTCTCGCGATCAAATACAGATGTTACAAGCCTTTTATCTGGTACCCACTGTAAAGGCAGTCATCTCATACGTATCAGATTATATTTCAAAGCTAGGACTGAAAACATACGAGGCCTTTGCATCTGTGTTCGATGTCTTTGAAAAAAAATCCAAAACACTTCATGGCAACCTGGGGGGCATGGAAAAAGCACGCAAGCTGATGTGCCAGATGATAAACTTGATATCCACAAAGATGGAAATTGGAAGCCCCATGTGTTTCCAAAAGGAGCCAATAAGCTGACCTCTATATATACCCGTTACAGTACATGGAAGTTTATCCTGAAAACAGAGTTCTGTAATCTTGTCCAGAATTTTGTTCTCTGAATTCCTGACATAGTCGTCTGTATCTTGGATGTGTCAATGCCTTTGATTATTACAGTCTCAGCAGTGGTCTTGCCTCTGGACAGAGCCACATAATACAAACAATGGTCTTTCAGGTGGTTAAGATGTACAACGTTCACTGGTCTATATTTTTCTTGCAAACTGTAGTCTGTTATAGCATAATTGTGTAGAACTGTGTAGAACAAGGACCTGTTTGTGAGTAAGAGAGACAAGAGGGAATCGTCTCTCAATAGGCAGGTGATTTGGGCTTTGACATGAGGTAAGGGAACAACATTCAATGGTAGTCTGGGGATCTGAATGGTTCACAGTAGGTTGATTAGTTCTGCAAATAAGATGTTGAGGTTATGTTTACCGTTTGGGCTTACACTAGAATCCCAACCCACTACAATGGCTTCCTCACATTTGGTGACACACAATTCAGTAGTGTTGTTTGACCTTACCATGATAGGCATCCCGAGACAGAGTTTCAAACATCCTGGAACAAATTCGGACATCGTAGAAGATAATGCATTCCACAGCTGGCTTTGCAAATTAGGTCCAATACTTTGATAGTAGGCTTGTTCACATCTCTTCCACTTTGAACAATCAACAGGACTATGACTCAAATAATCTACAGAGTAAAATTCAACTAAATCTTGACCACTATCTTGTGCGAAATGTTCAGCTCCTGCGTTGTTAATAAAGTCCTTGTGCATGTTCAAAGCTGTAGCCACAGAAACATTCCTGAACTCCAAAACATTCAAATGGCAATCTCCTGGTGATTACCTGCCACTAGGGTTCTCCAAAAAACTATGTCTTTGTCACTGCAAGCTGTGTAACCTATATTAATCAGGGTGTTTTGCAGCTTCATGTCTTCTAGGGTCTGCTTTGTTTTGTCTCTTTTTTTTTTTTTTTTTTTTTTTTTTCAACAGGACCATGGTCATGAATTGATGCCACAGGAGATGCCCAAGCACAGCATTCTGACTACATTGATTAGTTCCAGCAGAAGTGGATATGAAGCCACTGTATAAAGACGGGCCAGTCATGGGAGGTAATTGGGCAAAATCACTGGCCAGAATCACACTTAGACCTCTGAACTCGACATTGTGTACATTGCAAGCTTTTGCAGCTTGAGTCACCAGAATTTGGTGATTGTTGCAAGACATCATGGACACCTCATCTATCAACACATATTTGATGCTGCAAATCCTTTTATTTACAGCTACCAGGTTGGCCTCCTTGCTCCTGATGCCGTTTAAATCATCACTGTTCTTGCTTTTAGATTCTCTGGGGATCCTGAACACTGAATGGTAAGTTGAGACATTCACTAGGGATGCTGTGGATCCTGTAGGGCCCAAAACCGCGAGCCGGTAAGACTCTCTGCATGTCTTGAAGAACTTGATTATTGCAGTAAATGTCTGAAATTTACCTGTTCTGCCCATGCCGCCAATGTAAAGCTTTAGGGGTGTGGGTGATTTCTACGATGTGTGGTTAGCCACGAGTCTGAAGTCACAATCTTGTTCCTCATTCGATTTAAAATCCGAGCTTATTTTGCTAATTATATCTTCTGACTTCTTTTGCGAAAATTTGCCTTTGGGAGTAAAATGATTGTGCGGTAGTGAACTGGGAACCTTTACCTGACTGGTTAGGTGGAGGGGCCGGCATTTCAGCTAGTTTGTTGAGTGTGTATTGTTCCCTTTCATGCTTGACCATATTAATCCACGCTTGTTTAGGTTTATAAGCGGGGGTTACTCTTTCCACTACGGCTGTGAGAACTGACCCTGTAGGCAGGACATCCAGCCATCGAGTGGTGCGCAGGACTTTCCTCATGTCATTACGTTCTTTTCTCATATGGGCTGACCTGTCACCAATTTCTATTTCATTCTCAGCAAGGTACAGACCTTAATCACAATCATTGATATCGTTGACAAACTCTTCGGAATCGCCTAGGAAAGAGTGGCTGAAGTGCGACGTAAAGCCAAATTGAGCTTCTGCCATCTTCTTCTTGAGGCTTGCGTAATGATCATCTCTCGCATCATTACACTTGTACCTCACATTGAAATTCTTAATCAGTTCTCTCTGTCTAGCTGTGAATCCATGTTCAAGAAAAGCCTGGTCCCACATTGAATCTTCTTCTTTTAGGTCACCTGGTGATCTCCAAGGTTTGAACAAGGTTAGAATTGTCATGCAATAGTAATTGCAATCACCCTTGTCTGATTGCAGGATTGCACGGCCTACAAAATTGGGAATGATTGAGTTAATTCTCAAGAAATCACAATACACAGTGTGACTAGTGAATTGGCTGTGATCAGGTAAGAAAGGATGGCAAGCAATACATTCAGTTTTTTCTTCGCATTTTCCTTCAACAGTATTGCCTCATCATCGTCTTTGGTAGACCAATCACTTTTGTTGTCTGAATTGAAGTTTGCATCCTCAGGTCTATGTCTCAAATAATAAAGTTGTCGTCGGAGTCAGTCCCGTTTGTAGTATGGACATCCAAATCTTTGACATCAGCTGTTAAGCAGTCCTCACACAACATATCTTGCATCTCCCTGACGAAATGCAGGTGCGCCAAGAATTCTGCACCCTCATCTCTTGTTCTGGCCTTTTTATCGGCACATTGCACCCACTCATACAAAGTCATGTCTCTGTAGACAGTGGGACACAAACAATAATTGTCTACAGGCGATATCCCCACATACTTCTGTTTTGGTTGTCAAGCATAACTTGTTCTTCCGGCGAGTCATCTAATGAGTCTATCTCTGGATTCAAGACCCCTTTGTCAACGGTGGACAAGGCCAAAAATCTTTTTGCCTTGCTAACATATGATCACCACCAGAAATTTACGAACGTGTGGCTAGTGTAACAGTCAGGGTGATTTAGCAAATAGAAAATGAAATCTCTCAAGCCCCTATGAGAATGAAAATAAGAAACGAGGGCAAAGTAATCCCAGCAGATGAGATATTTTATGGAGATTGGAAACTAACAGAAGACAAGCCCAAAACCACAAAATCTAATGTGGTCAAGAGAAAACTGGATGCTGAACCCTCGAGTAGTAGTCGCAAATAGCAAAAGATAAAGGACACAAGGCTCGCACCTCCAATCTTCTTGTCTCCATTCGGGGCTTCTACTATGCCTGTCGGAATGGTCTGGGACAGTACCAACTACAGCTG